TCTGTGTGTTCCCAGAATAGTTTCTGTCCTTTGAATGGTACGTCCTATACTGTGGTTTGTATCTCCTTAGGAAAGCCCAAGAGATGTAGCCATGATGCAAGTCTCATGACCATAGCAGTTGCAATGGATCTGTGACTGGAGAGTCTAAATGAGGCTTGTAGGGCCATACAGGCTAGGTGGTGTCCCTCCACTATCAAGGACTGGAATTGCTCCTTTTTAGTCTCTGATCAATCATGGCTAAGTTTCTCCAATTTAAAGTAGTTTAGATAATTATACTTGGCCATGAGAGCTTCATAATTTGAAATCCTCAACTGTAGCGTGACTGAGGAGTATGTCTAGCATCAAAATAAGTCCAGGCATTTCCAATCTCTGTCTGGATGGCTAGATCAAGATTGGTACTAACGGCCTCTCTCCTGTGCCACACTGACCACTAAAGAATTTGGGGTAGGATGCGAAAATAAAAATTCAGCATCCTCTGCTGGAATGTAATATTTTCTATCAGCGTGTTTGCAGGTCAGAGGGATGGAAGACTGGGTCCGACACAGAACCTTTGCAGGTTCGAGAAAAGCTTCACTGATTGGTAGTGTGATCTTTGCGGAAGAGGATGTGTGGAGGATATCCAGCAGTTTATGCTACCAGTCTTTGACTTCCTCCAGTGGGATCTGTAGGGAGTCTACAATCCTATGGAATAGATCTTGAAAGTGCCTGAAGTTATCGGCAGATGTAGGGGATGGAGGCATAATCGCCTTCTCAGGTGAGGAGGAGGAAAAATGTAAAGTTGGGGAAGCCTGCTTTTTCCTCATCTTCCTCCTCAGTTGGTACTGGTGACGGTTCAACTTCCTGATGGCAAGACGCCAATGGAGAAGGGAGGAGTAGGTCTCCAGCTTTGATCTCTGGGAGGGTTCCTGAATGGTGCCCCATAAATAGCCCAAGGGTCCCAATATGGCCAGTTTAGTGGGAGTGGCACATGTGGCTGCATCCATGGTGGTCCCTGCCAGGATTGGGGGGTCGTATAGCGAGGATAACCTGGTGCAATTTGCTCTCGTCCTCCTCCTCACTGGGGAAGATCCTCGGCGAAGAGAGGGAGGAATGTTGAGAGTCTAGAGAGGAGGGTAGAAGTGGAGGGAGGTCCAGTCGAAGAAGGGGATACTCAGGAGCATCAGATATCAGAAGGTCTTTAGGTATCTGAAGTCTTGTGGAGGAGGAAGGAACATCATCAGTGCTGTTGTAAGACCAGCGCCAAAGAGAGGGTCTACATCCCTGAAGTTTCAGAAGATGGCACCAGAGATTTAGCTCGTGCCAAAGACTTGCCTGGTGCCAATGGCTTTGTTGGTGCCAGAAATGGCATTAGTGCTGTAGCTCCTGCAAGTGGGCTGCCTCGGTCCTCAAAGCTGGGAAACAGCAGCAAGGGCTGAAGGTCTGCCTGGATAGGGACTTTAGACAGGTTTCTTTAAGCTAGTACCAGAGATACTTAGACAAGGCCTGGAGCTATGTCCCCTGTCAAATGAGGTTGAAGCCACCAACCTAGCTGGGGACAGTGTTCTGGTGGGCTGTGGCTCAGAGAGAGGAGGAGGAAGCCCATTTCTTGTCATCCGCATGCTCACAGGATGACTCTCTTGACAGGGCGTGGAAGAGTGGGGTTGACAAATGACCTGGTAGAACATGAGGGCCTCTCTGGGGAAGAGTTCAGGTCTGATGCCGGAAGAAGTGATTTCTCCATGAGAAGTTTCAATCCAAGGTCCCTATCTTTTCTGGCTCTGGGTTTCAGGTCGAGGCAGTGGGATCACTTTTGAGGAACGTGTCCCTCTCCCAGACAGCAGATACACTGTGGGTGGCCATCCATTATTGAGAAGGCAGCTCCACATAAGATGAACTTCTTAAACCCAGGAGAGCCAGGCGTAAGAGTGAAGGGAAAAGGGCTTCCAGTTGGGAAGTGGGAAAAACAGAAGCCTAATCTAGGAGAACTGTAAAGATAAAAGTTAATAAAAAAATTTTTATACAGATAGAAGGAGAAGGAAAAACAAGAAAAACAACTAGCTACACTATCAGGTAAGGCACTGTATATAAGGGAATAGGAGAAGCTGGCTCTGCTAGTGGATTCCATCCCAGACCAAAGGCAGTAGACAAAGAACTGGGGGTGGTTGGACCGCACAGCACTATATATACACATCCCGCACACACACGACAGAGGGGAGGTGCACATATGCAGTCCAATAGGCACAGCTAGTGAAGGACTTCTGATCCCAGGTGCAGGGGGTGCGGCTGCACCTACAGTGGAGCACCCACAGGGATATCACTCAAAGAATAACTACTCAGTTTCCTTCATAAAGTCTCATAAAAGGATTTTTGCCAAAGGTTTATGGAAAGTCCAAGTAAACTATATCTTTATTGCTCCTTCAAGAATTCAATTAGGAGAGGCACAGACACAACACTGGTTTAGCCCTATGATATTTAATCTAAGTGTTTAATAACTGTTTGAAGTTATTTCAATTACTATACCTGGTAGTGATGTTAGGATCTGGAATTTTCAACATCACGCCTAGCACTTTAAAAAACCCTCCAGCAAAGTTGCTGATTTTAATGACCGGTATATTTTTGTTAGCAGCTAACCTACTTAATTCTTAAAGTCCTTCAGAACTCTGGAGAATAGCATTTGGTCCTGGTGACTTACTGCAAATTAAATTATCACTTTTCTTACAACACCTTTTCTTTGGATACCACAGTTTCTGACAGCACCTTCCTTTTAGTTACCTGAGAACAAAAGCCATCTACACATCCTCTGTTGTCAAGACTGATGCAATGAAAGCATTCAACTTCTCTGCAATGTTTTTAATCCTCAACAATTCATCCCTTGACCCGATAGTCTAGCAGATCCAATGACTCTCTTGCAGGCTTCCTACTTCTAGGAAAAGTATTTCTCAATGTTTATAAAGCAAGTAGTGAGACACAAAAATACTTTTTGCCATCTTATACCTAAGCATGTCCTAGTTTACATTCCTTTCCATTGAGCAGGATTTTTTTTTAATTATATTTTTGACTTGAATAAACTCTTATAACCTGCCATTTAACTGGAATGTTTAGGGAAGGATACCTAGTCAATAGAATGCACCTGACATCTAGAAACTGCAAGGAATTTAACACCTGCATTCACACAGAATCTCAGGGTTAGAAGGGACCTCAGGAGATCATTTAGTCCAACCCCCTGCTCAAAGCAGGACCAATCCCCAGACAGATTTTTGCCCCAGATCCCTAAATGGCTCCCTCAAGGACTGAACTCACAACTCTGGGTTTAGCAGACCAATGCTCAAACCACTGAGCTATCCCTCCCCCCGTTATCTGTATATTAAATACTTTTCTGTATATCCTAAAACCAAAGTGCTTGAAGGCGATCTTAGAGAAGATTTGACAGTCCTCAACATCGTGATGGCAGAATTTTCTACCTGCCTCCATGGAGATGGTTCACAGAGGCAGATAAGGCAATCAGGTGGTCCCTTTCTGCACAAGAAGGATAATTTACCTTCTTTTCACCCTAAAAAAAGGAGGTTAGAAAATAAAATAACTTAAGAAAGCCCCTACCTTAATTTCCTAAAGGCTATTGATAAGTGTTTATTTTAGCATCTCTCTGAGAAATCCATCTTTTCTAGGTTCTTTCTGATTTGTGGTGTTTTCCTTCATTCTTTGTCTTCTTCTAGACTATGTCTACTCTGGCAACTGAACGACAAAACTTGTGTCTTTGGGGGGAGGGACGGGTTAACACCTCTGAAAGACAAAAGTCCTGCCGACGACAAGCGCCCGTGTGAACAACGCTTCGTCAGCAGAAGTGCTCTCCTGCCATCAAAGCTAACGCCACTCGTTGGGGGTGGAAGTTTTTTTTTTTGTCAGCAGGAGAGCTGACAAACAGCAGCTACGCTGTGTGCCTTTTAGCAGCACGGCTGTAACGACACAGCCGTGTTGCTAAAAGCTGCGTAGTGTAGATATAGCCCTAATGAAAGGGGAAAAGGGAGCACAGGAGTTGAAGAACAGGCTTTATGCTTCTAGTGTAAGAAAGAAAGAAGAGGGAAAATTAGTGGATAGGAAGTGGGAAAGCCGGTGTCTTTATATCAGATGTAGTTGACAGGTTTTTCGCCTCCTTGCTTCCTAGCTGGTGGTGTTATAATGCCGATTGTGTGGGATGTTGTTGGATAGTGCAAGTGAGGTATGATCAGAAAAGTATCTCCCATCTGTTACACTGATATTGTAACAACAACTTCTAGGACATATTAAAGTGACTTCATATCAGGAGAGAGCGAGCCTCATGAAGATGTTTCTCCAACTTGCAACTCAAATTGTAAGCCTCAGCTACGGCATAAGTAGCACACTTTTCTTCTATCGCCTTGAACACTACCCTGCACACAAGACAGCTCTCAAATTTCTCACAAGGTAGACAGACGCTGGACAAAGCAGAAAAGAGGCTGCCTACCATGAAATCTGTAACTTCTAGTTTGTCTATCTACATTGCAGCAAGACTAGATCATCTGCCCAGATGATGAGATGAGGAGAAAAAAAGACCAAGGTTTTCTATTACATTTGACCTCTTACTGTGCAAATTTAAATCTAAACATTTTTGTAGTAAAATGGCTTACTATTTTAGGCCCAGTTCAGCAAGTTACTTACACATGTCTAACCTTAAGTATGTGCCGTCAGTATACTGATCAGAGCCTTAGACAGAAACTAAACACCTAAATCCCATCATAGTGAAGTTACCTACTGTACCTGGATGCTGTAGCAGATGTGTGATCATCATTTTTAACAAATCTTTAATTAAAACAATCCAAACAGTACAACTGGCACTGATTCTCTTAATACTTATACACATGCTTAATGTTAAATTTGAAGTCAGTGGGTCTATGCTCATGTTTAAGGTTAAGCACATGAGAGTGTTTCAAGGATCTGGGTCTATATAAGCTACAGAACTGAACCTAGAAATACAAAAACAAGATGATTTCAAAACTTGCAAATACCTTATACAATCCAATGCCAGGATCAATGAGAAATGACCGAGCAGATGTAGATGGCTGATTGGGCGATCCACTCCCTGTTGTTCTCTTGACTTTGTTCTTACAGTTGGCAACAGCACACGGGTTGACTTCTCCATCCTTATTAGTCAAGGAAGTGGTAGGAGCATCAGACTCAGTCCGTATCAAAAGCTGAACGATGTCGTTTAGTCCAACATTGTAATCGAATAAAGTATGTCCATCTTCCAGCTGTCAAAAGAGTAGATTTTATTTTGCAAAGCTCCATCTTAAGAAATATTGCTAAGATTCCCTCTTAACACAATAATTCTGTAGAATAGAAAATTGTAATGCATTTTTTAAATCACTAATTAAATGACTTCTATGTGGTCATTGTTTTTGTCGGTTTCTTGCTAGAAGTGAACAGTAAAACCCTTAAGTTCAATGGGACCAAGATTTCACCCAATGAGATTACTCACAGGCATAAAAACTATACATGTGCATCTTTGCATGATTTGGGCCTTACTGTATACATAGGCGCCGACTACATGGGTGCTCCGGGGCTGGAATACCCACAGAAAAAAATTGGTGGGTGCTCCCCGTGCCGCTCCCCCACCCCAGCTCACCTCCTCCCCTAAGTGCGCCGGAGAGTCCAGCTTCTCCCCCCTCCCTCCCAGCGCTTGCACCACGAAACAGCTTTTCACGCAGCAAGCGGTTGGAGGGAGGGGGGAGGAAGAGGAACGCGGCGTGCTCGGGGAAGAGGCGGGGCCGGGGATTTGGGGATGGGTCCAATGGGGCAGGGAGGGGGCGGAGTCGGGGCGGGCACGAGCACCCACCAGCACCAAGGAAAGTTGGCGCCTGTGGCAGTATGAGGGACAGTCTTCGCTCATTGATATATTTTGCTTTCCACAACCAAATCTCTGTACAACTTTTCATGAATGATGTACCCGAATATTTGGACACTAATATCTAAACTGTCTTAAATTTATTCACCTAAATTTGAATTATTGCTGATTATGTACTAACGTATCATATGACTTTTAAAAACAAACTTTGTATTTGTGGATAATCTAGCACTATACCCAAATGAACAGACACTTCTCAATCTGTGTATTATATAATTTTAACATTAGCTTTAATAAAAATTTTAAATCTGAGATGGTCCACTGAGAATGCAGATCACAACTACACTGTCTCCAATACCATTATGTGGTTAAGTGTGGGAAATGAAGTTTTACTGACAACCACTCTATTGTGTAAAACGTCACAATTCACCCTTTCCCAATCTTTTCAAAGCAGCAAGTCAATATTTTAGACTTAAATAATCTTTTACTATCACAGTTTTCTAAAATATCCAGACAGCCACAAAAGGGTTAAAAATAAAATTGAAAACAAAAATAGGTTTACCTTTTGAAACAAAGACAGAAATACTTATTGTGTGAGATTATAATTAGAGAAAGAATGCAATTACCTATCTTAGGCCTTCAGGTTTCTATAAAGAACTCATCTGTATCAAGTGCACCCACAAACTGGATTTAGGAAAGAAAGCTTGCTACTCCAGGTTTAAGACCAGAAGGGGTTAAACATATGGGTTTATTTAGCAAGCGAGTCTTGTTAACTTGCCAGTTAAGAACTATGGCGCCCAAGCCACAAAGATTTAGACTCTACTTCAATCCACGAAACTCCTGCCCAGTCCTGTAGGCACCTAAACTCGGCATCTAAGTTTTCAAGGTAAAAACGTTCCATAGGCATCACTGGGCATTCTCAGTGTTGATTCTCTAGGCACCCAGACACATCTCCTATCTAAGCTCCAGAGCTATCCATGAACTGCGGGAAGAGAAGCATTCTTCTGCCTCAGTTGCAGGCAGGAGTGTTCTAACCACGAAGCTATGGGATATTCTGATGTGGGGCTCACTCAAATTCTACGGTTGCAGCTGTTCCACTGTGGATAAATAAAGTAGTGACTGAAGCAAGAGAACTAGACCCTGGGTCTCCCACCTCCCTGGTAGATGCCCTAACCACCATCATGAAATGTCACTCTCTCTGGTCAGTGACTATTAAACTATTCATCCACAGCAGAACAGTCACTCAGCCAGAGCATGAGTATGATTCTAGTCCAATAGTTAGGGCATCCACCTGAGAGATGGCAGACCCAGGGTCCAGTCCCATTGATCCCATCACTCTTTCATTATGTATCCATAGTGGAACAGCTTCGAAAGAAGAAACTGAGGGAACTCCACATTAGAATATCCCATATCTAAATGGTTAGAGCACACCCGTTCAAGTCCTACCTCTGTGTCTCCTTCTCCCTCCTCTAGCAGAATAAGGCGGGGGGGGGAGAACACCTGGGTCCCCCACATCCCAGGCAACACTCTAACCACTGGGCTAAAAGTTGTAAGGGAGGGCGGAGGGGGAAGAGAAGGCACCTCCTCCCCACAGTGTGTGTGGAGTGAGGCAGGTGCCTAACTCATTCCCACAGAAAACAAGTTCCATCTATCTCCAGGAGAGGGGTTCCCATTCATGGATCATTAGCAGAGATAAGTGCCTCCCTGCAGCCTGGACTTAGGCGTCTATCTCTGAGACAGGCAGGGCTTAGGACACTACCCTCATTGGACTTCTTCCAGTGACTTGGGGAAATAAAAAAAAACAACTTATCCTACATCAGAATTTTAATCTTGTATGAGCATACGAAATGCTGGAAAACTAAACAAGAGGTGGGATCAGTATTCTTCCCCCACTTCTTGTATTCTTTCCTTCCCTTCAAAGAGAACGGCCATACTGGATCAGAACAATGGTTCATCTAGCCCAGTATCCTGTCTTCCAACAGTGGCTGTGAACCCCCCACAGCTCTCAGTGCCCCACTTCAGTCACTGCAAGTGCTCCTAGGGCTTGGCTACACTTGCAAGCTAGAGCACATTAAATCAGCCCCAGGCGCCCTAACTCCTGAGGTGTCCACACCGGCAAGGCACTTAGAGAGCGCACTTGGTAATCCACCACAAGAAGCATAGAGCTTGCTGCGCCCTGGCTGAAACGCCCGCGTGTCAGTGTGGATGACATGTTGCATTACTGCGCTGTGACTGGCCTCCAGAAACGTCCCATAATCCCTTGAAGTCAAGTGGCCACTCTGGTCATTGTTTTGAACTCTGCTGCAGGCATGCAGATATCCCCTTTCAAAGCTCTGTTTCTGACAGCCGGCATGCTTATCTGCTCCGGGACACAAAGCAAACCATTACTGTGGAATGCTGCTGAGGCAGGCGTGTGCATGTGAGAGAGGCAGGGGGTGAGAGGGGGATGAGGTCGGGGTTTCCCCCTGCCGCTGTCTGAACTTAGACAGCATGTGACACACTCTGCCCCCCCAAAACAGTGTCTCTCCGCCAACATACACACAACACACTCCCTGTCACACACATCCCATTTGAAAAGCATGCTGCAGCCACTTGCACACTGGGATAACTACCACAATACACTGCTCTCTGTGGGGTTGCAAGAGCTGCTAATGTGTCCACGCCACTGTGCTTGCAGCTGACAGTGTAAACACATAGCAGCTTTCCCTGCTTGTGTCTCGGAGGGCTGGTTTAACTCCCGATGCTCTACATCTGCAAGTGTAGCCATAGCCTTAGTTACACCTACTAAGGGACATAAAAGGCAGTAAGAGGAGCTTCTATAAATACATTAAGAGTAACATGAAGGAAGTGTAGGTCCTCTACTTAGCAGGGAAGGAGAGCCAGTAACAAAAGGAAAGAGGTGTTTAATGCCTATTTCGCCTTAGTTTTCACTACAAGTCAGTTGTTACTAGATCCTTAACGCTATTAATATTAACAAAGGGGAAGAAACTCAAGCCAGAGTGGGGGGGGGGGAAGCATTTAAATAAGTTAATGTATTCAAGTATGCAGAGCCTGAGAAATTCACCCTATGGTACTTAAGGAATTAACTGAAGCAATCTTGGAACCATTAGCAATTATCTTTGAGAATTCATGGAGGATGGATGAGGTCCCAAAGGACTGGAGATGTGCAAACACAGAACCTCCAAAAAAAAAAAAAAAAAAAAAAAAAAAAAAAAAAAAAAAAA